CTACCTACCTACCTACCTACCTAGTACAAGGACAATCACGAAGGCTTGTTGACTTTCCTCTTCCCCATTTGTTCTCCCTTGAACATTTCACACATGCCACTTTGTAATCCCTTACTAGCCTTGAATATTGGCCCCCGTTTGTTGCCATCCTAATGAAGTTTTCTCTATCGCGCACCTCCCCTACTTCATCTGTTCAGTTCACCTCCTCTCCGAACATTAGAATCCAAGCTCCGCGCCGAGATCCCACCGAATTGCTGAAGTTGAAAGTGTGCAGGTACTCAATGGGTCAAGGCCTCGGATAATTATTGGCTCGCTATGAGCTCCCCTTCCCCCAAGAAGAAGAATGGCGGCAATCCTTCTGCTCCCAGACAAATCCGCTTTGTCGCAACTGACGGCCAGCCGCAAACCAAGCGCCGCCGCGTTAATGCTGCGTATGTGGGCTCGAGGACTCTAGTTAATAAATTCGTCGGTCAAGACGCTGACGTCACTTTAATTTGGCATAGTTGTCTAACATGTCGCCGGCGCAAGATTCGATGTTCCGGTGAACAACCAGGTAGGATGTGCAGAATCTCTCGCTTATGGATACCTTGCTGACCGGGCATGTGAGGAGAAGTGTGTAAGACTTGCTCCGACAACAATCATGTCTGCCTCGGTTATTCCGATTCGACCGCACACCTGCGAACGCAGTCTGACTCCGCATCTCGAGCGCCGCCGCGCCTTTCGGCTCTGAACGAATCGGCAAGCCAGCACGCTTCCCGGGCAATCGATAGCAGCTCCCCCGAACCAGTGCCGACAACGATACACAAGGGCCCCACAGATAAAACAGCGAATACACAACCGCCCGGATCAAAGGATGTCTCTGCTTTTGGAGACATTTGTTCACTCCCGAACAAGGGATGGGATACACAAGCCGTTGGGGACAGTCCAGCGAGTGTTCGTACCTCTATGAGCTCAGAGAGTCGCACGAATGTCCCGTATTTTCGATACTTCGGCCCTACCGCGATCGTACCGGGGTTCAAACAAATGATTGTGCAAGTTCGAGGTTCTCGGAAGAGTAACCCGTCAGCGTCCTCAGACTCGCCCTCTCCTCTTCGGAGCCCTAAATCGTCCAACATTCCCACAAGACCCCTGGTCAACACTGCGGATAACCGGGACAGTCGCGATGTGAATCTCCCATTTTATGACCGAGATGACACGCTTCCTGCTTCAAATCTTGTATCTCACTTGTGCGAACTCTTTTTTGCTCACCTGGGTTGCAGCTTTCCTTTCCTACAACGAGAGAGATTTCTTCAGGACCTCAACGAGAAAAATGTTGACACCATGTTGGTGGATGCAGTGTGTTCCTTAGCTGCGAGATTCTCAACACATCCATCACTTGGCCCTCCACAGGCTCCTCCTATCGATTGCTCGCAGCCATCACTCGACGACAGAAAGTGGGATCGTGGTCTGCCCTTTGGTCATCGTGCGATGAGCGCTCTCGTAGATTCACTGCCGTGTCCAACTCTTTCTGCCGCCCAAGCGTGCCTATTACTCGCTTATGAACAATTTGGATCAAATCGTGACAGTGGACTCTGGATGTACCTTGGAATATCCATTCGCATGGCACAGGACCTGGGACTGCAGAAGTTCCAAGGTCTCAAACATAGCTATGGCAAGACCGGCGTTACACCGAGTGAAGTGATGACAGGCCACGCTGAGAAAATGAGAGAGGAACAATATGATGATCTTGAAGTGCATCTAACACCGAATACTGCCCCGAAACCTTTGGTTGAGGAACGAGCCCGAGAGCGTGAACGGGTAGACTCTTTTTGGAGCATATTTTTCCTAGACCGAGTTATCTCTTCGGGGACCGGGAGGCCAGTGACACTACGCGACGAGGATATTGAAATTTGCTTCCCTCCTCAGTATGAATCTCGGCTATCAAATGGGTGGCCCGCGCCATTCCCCCCGCTCATTCGGATCATTCATCTGTACGGCCGGGTGACCGACCTTATAAATGGCATTCAGGATGTCAAGCTCGTCACCCCGGACACATTGAAGACGTTAGCTGGCATGGAAAGCGATCTGACTGGCATCTATCAAGGCTTGCCCCCAAGACTCCATTTCAACGCAGCCAACTTTCAAGCCTATGTCAAAGCCAAGGAGGGAACCAATTTTATTCTTCTCCATTTTTGGTTCCATACTCTAATCGTTCTCCTTCACCAACCGACGTTGTTGAATTCATTTGGTGGATCAATCCAACATCTCTATCTAAACAGTCGTGAGCTATCAATGTCGTCTGCCAAAACTATTGCCGACATCCTGTCCTTCTCGGAGCTTGTCGATGGGAAAAGCTTCATTGGCAATCCTTTCACGAGTCAGCCGATGTACATTGCTGCGTGCGCATTCCTCATGGAAAGTGCTTACTATGCGTCTCCATCTTCGGGGGCTAGGTCAAACCAACCCCAGCCATTGTTGGCGAATCAATCCAGTGGGTTCGTGATGCCCACTATGGAGTCCTCACATGGGACGGAACGAAAGTCGACTGCGAAACATATCCTGCTTGCTTCTGCGGCCAAAGAAAATTACCAGCGGTGTTATAAGGCCTTGAAAGCACTTAATACATACTGGGAAGGCACTGGATATATTTTGACAGTGCTGGATCAGAAGGCCAAGGGGATTGTCGATCCCCTCCTCTACGCTGTGGAGGATATGGAAAATATCGAATGTATCGCCCCAGGGCAACACATTAGGCCAGGAGCTTGGCGTGCAGGCAAATTCCCGGTGGACTCTGGCTTTGATCCAGAACGAGCAGCAGGGGTCGCTGACATCCCATCGGAAGGGAAATGGTCGCCACACATTGATCCAAGCCAAGGTTTGTTGGATCCGTTAATATCCATGATAAACACACCACTGATAGGTTGTGTCTCTACAGCTATCGGATGGGCACTTACAGGAGCAACAAATTCTTCACAGCCAAACTTAAGCCTTCTCTATCAGATGTCCACCACTGAGGCTGAGTCTCCGCCCAGTAGACCAACATATTCGTCGCAGTACAGCCACAGCTACCCAGTTCTACCAACGAATGCTGGCGAAGGGCCAAGCTCTTCATTTCCACCATCGATTGCACCAGCCAGAACTCACGAAGAAATGACACCTTCACTCACGACAGCAAATGCTAAATACCCCAATGTTCAATCTCGAACAACCAGCACCAACTCGTCTTTTTACATGGATATGAATCCAACGTATGCCGAATCAAACACACGGACTACACAGCCCGTACAGATAGCACAGACTACATTCACCGGGATGCTATCCTCCGGGCCACCAACTTCACATGTGACTACCCAGTCTTCCGCCTATAATTACTCGATGCCTCAAACCACAACTGAGCACCCAAACAGAAACCCAATGGGGACTGGCGACCCAGGTACCGATCTCCAATCGACCATGGATGATGCCAACGGCATGATGATCGCGAGTCATGAGGTCGATATGAACTCCATCCATCATCAAGACTCTTTCCCGTTCGTTAACGGCGAGATCATTCCGTGGCTCGAATACCTCCCGCAAGATGTCCTGAGTTTCTTCGGCGACCATCAAGATTATTCGCTTTTGAGCCCCGACGATGTGTCACGGCCTCCGTAATATTTGAAATTCCTTCTTGTCATACACATTCATAGCTTCCGTGCCATTTTCCTTTGCCTGTGTTCGAGCGACTTGCTTTTCCCTTGTGTTTATTATCTTTCTGCTAGATCTACTTTTCCGACGTTAGGTTAGATGGTATTCTTCGCCAGCACTATATCGCCTGCGTTTGGTTGTGGATGTGAAACTGGCATCTTTGACTTGGGACTCAAGCCCCGCAATTTTGAATTTCCTTAAAACGTCAGTAATTCCTACGAGATCTCACCAGAAAGTGTAAAGCCAGGATAATTTTTTACCGTTGAAGATCTAAATGGTTACGCTGTACTCGAGTACATCGTGGGGCCTGATCGAAAAAAAATCCGTTGCCCAGAACAACGGGGGCGGTGAACGACTGGTCAACATACGTCAAGTTGTCTTGGTTTCTACGTTGACACCAAGGAAGGAGTTATATGGAATTGATTTTACCAAGTCCCTAGCTCTTTGGTTCTTACAGATAACCCTCGAAAGTCCCAGAGCGCAATCTCTCGCGAGACATTGCATGAGTATTCCATGGCGAAGTTCAATGACGACAGTCATCAACACGTCGATTGCACAGAAATCCTAAGCCCACAACCTTTTGCCCCTACAGGCAAAGGCTTCCTCGTGTCCACCCTCGAGTCCAGCAACGAGTCCGCCGAAAATGCCCGTATGTCCTCCACTCAAGATTATGAATCCAACTCTTCCCCCTCCTCCAACCGCCATTCAACAAGCGACGTATTCGGCCGTGAAATGGACGATGACCTAAACCAACTAAAATCCAGAGCATCGAGTCGCTCATCACTATCCTCAATTCCAGCCTCCGTCCTCATCTATCCAGTCGACAGGATGAAGCAAATGCCAAGTATGGACATCCACGAAAAGAGAGCCGACTACAGAACAAAAGAGTCTGAAGCTAGCTTCAGCGATTTTAACACCGTTCCTGCTATTGTCTGCACTATCCGCCAGCGCGAAGCTGCCTTCCGAAAGCCGAGTTCCGTAAGAGCGATGCAGATGCATACAGAAGACGAAGCCGACGACGACGATTATCTAACCCCCTCGCGCCGACGACAACGCCTCCACTCAGGGTCATCTGGCCCCTCACCACTGAGACGATTACAATATCACTTGCCCAATACATCGAAACAGCCCAAGACCAGACAGGAGGCGCCGCTAGTATTGCTGCACTGCACCCTGCTTCCGCCGTCCATCCCAGTACCTGGGGCATCGGACCCCAGAAACCAGGGGATCCTGGAGGACGAGCTACCGGCAGAATACTGGAAGCGCTGGCTACGACTCAAAGACCGGGTTGGATCGGGCGTGCTTCGCGATCGCGGAGTGTTGATCTCACACCCGGAGGATCTATACGATATTCTAGAGGAGCGACTGTTAGAGAGTCTCGAGCTGCAACGACCGCGCCTGCAGAATGGGCACTTTGTGGGTCGGGAGGACAACACCTCTGGCTCTGGCTCTGAAGGGGATTTCTCGGATATTGAAGAAAGCGAGACCGACGGCGAGCAGGGCGATGAGTGTCCCGACTGTGGAACACATGTACGACACGGAGATAGTAACCGCAAATGGGAGATTCGGGTATTTGCCGCGAACGGACTAATGCGTTCTGGGGCGTGGGCTGCTGCGTGGCGAGATATGGAAAAGGTTGATGTCGAGGTCGGGCTTTGGTTGCCTTCTGATGTGCGCTTTGGCCTGGAGAGAAGGCTCGCGGAGGAGCAGATGGCGGTCGTAGAGCATGCTCAGACTCAGACTCCGCAGATGCAGATGCAAATGCAGATGTCGTCCCTGATTAACAGTGTGCATCAGGTCCCACCGGAGATTCTGCAGTCGCCTAGGCAGAGCCATGCTCGCATTATCAGTGGTATGGGGTCTTTTCAGGCTGATGGGATGATGTCCAGACAGGGTTTCCTTGAAGCTGGAACTCGTCTTGACCATGCGCCTGAGTTTAGACGGGGAAAAAAGGAACGTGAGGTTGCTCTTTCGACTCTCTCTGTCAATTCTATTCGTGTTCTGGCGGCTGATAGGCGCAACATTGCCCTGCTTTTTCTCAGTATCCTTGTGGCTTTCCTGGCTATAGGTTCTTTTTCTCAGCAGTTCCCGGATGTACCGAGCTTCAGCGTGGTTCCATCTTTGGTTTCTTCTGCTTATTCTGCGAGCTTGGGCAGTGCGGGCGATATATTGGCCATGAGCTCAGCTGACTCCATGCCGACTAAGTCTGTGGGTGGACGTGAGAGGGAGGTGATTCCAATGTCTGAGATAGTAAAGCCTGCTTCTCTGGCTGTTGACTCCCCTGATTTTCATGCTCAGCCTACAATCTTGCTAGAGCCCACCGAAACTACAGCGCCACACCAGCTGCTGGAGAATTCTCAGGCCCAACTAGAAGAGGCAGCAGATTCTTCTTCTTCTACTTCTTCTTCTGCCGTTGGGACCTCAGAGCCCCCTCCTTCCACTGACTCTGTTAAGTCTTCCATTCTGTCGGATGTGTTTGTAGAGACTACACTCCCTCAGTCTGAGGAAAGCGCACTGATTTCTCTGGGAAACACTGTGGAAACCCCTGCTGCGTCTACAGGGCCCTTCCCTTCTTCAACAAACTCTGATGAATCTTTTGTTCTGCCAGACATGCCTGCAGAAAATGACATGCCCCAGCATGAGAGCGAAGCAGAATTTTCTTTGAATAATAGTGTTGAGCCTCTCGCTATATCTGCAGAGCCTTCTCCTTTCATTGGCTCTATCGAGTCTCCCATTCTGTTGGATGTGGCTACGGAGACTGCAGATCCTTATACTCAAGGCGAAGAAGAACAGCAAAGCGAAGAAGATGAACAAATTATATGATCCTGGGAAAGCAATATTTATCTTTCCTAATCTTATGACTACGACTGGAACGATATTAGGCGAAATATTTGGGATCTTTTATGATTGGTACCATGTTCCACACCATTTTTGGCATCTTTAAATGATTTAGCTATAGTCGCTCGTTTGAATTTAATGATCAGGTTTCTAATGGCGAGCCTCATCGGCTCTTTTTCACAAATCGTAGCAAGTACGAGAACCGTAGGCTTCATAGTAAGTAGCCCAGGTTCTAGACTGTAGGGTGGATCCAGACTATAAGTGGTGGATCTCCAGGGCTGAAAAGATGCTAGCGCACAGTGTAGAATTGACTGCGTAGGTCTAGCGTCGTCCCATAGCCTTGGCATTTGGTCAACTAGGCTACGAGACAAGATCCAGATATATTCAAGCAGCCTTTTCCGGTGTATCAAGCCCTCAATACTTTATCACGAGAAGTACTCTCTATTATCACATGACGTTGTTTTTCGATGACCCGCAGTTTGTTGATACGAGCATAGTTGAAGTTGATGTGCTAGGAGAAGTCTATCGAGACGTCGAAATGCATGGTGGAATGTGAATTCACATGTTGCAAGGTGATGGGTTCTGACCAGACGACTGGATTATAAGGCTTTCCAAACATCACCAGAGGTCCCATCCGGTCTGACACCTACCTTGCTATCTACAGATTATAGTCTACTTGACCATTATATCCAAGTGACAATAAGCCTCCGTTGTTACATCACGCACAATCTAGACCAGGAACGAAAAAGGAACGGAACTGATTCAAGGATCGATATTATTGATTATCGATTAAAGGTAAGGTTAGTTGAACGAGTTCGATTTTGTATTGGGCAGGTTCAAGTGTCACTGGCCCAGCGAATTTATCCGTCAACCCATAAGTCACAACCTTCGTAAAAAAAAGTGCTAATCACGTCCAGACCTTCGTAAGCTTCGTGACAGGAACATCTAGTAACCGCCGCCGTAACCGCCCTGGCCACCCTGCTGGCCACCGTAGCCCTGACCACCACCGTAGCCGCCCTGGCCACCGCCGTAGCCGCCCTGACCACCACCGTAGCCTCCGTTGCCGCCACGGTAACCACCACCGCCGAAGCCGCCGCGACCACCACCGGCAGCGCGCTCAGTAGCCTTGTCAACGCGGATCTGGCGACCGTCGAACCTGAACAAAGAGATGGTTGTCAGTACAGGTTTTTTGAGTGGGAGCAAGAGAGCTAGAATAGACGACGCGGATCATGCGCGATTCATTCCAGCCCAAGTTTACTAGTTGCGAAAAGTGGAAGAAATCTTGAAGGAATCAGCTTGCTTACTCCTGGTTGTTCATGGCGTTCATAGCGGCAGTAGCCTCCTCATCGGTAGAGAAGCGGACGAAACCGAAACCGCGGCTGCGGCCGGTATCACGGTCCTTGACGACGGTCTAGGTAAAAAAAAGAAACAAGAGTCTTAGCAGGTTGGGCGATCAGTGTTGGAAGTCAGAGCGACTCACAGCATCCTCGACAACGCCGAATTCCTCGAAGCGCTGGCGCAGACTGTTGTCGTCTGTGTTCCAGGAAAGACCGCTAGAAACCGATGATCAGCGGCCGCATGTTAGTTATTCAGTTAGATCACTCTTACCCAATGAAAAGCTTCGACATTTTGATGGAAATGGGGCAGAGAGATCGAGAGGGGAAAGGGTGTTGGTGTGAAGAGGGGCACAGCCGAGCCTGATCTTAAATACAACCCGGGACGGAACAACATCACCCCACAGATTTCTGATTCCTGGTTTTTCAGGCTCACTTATTTTTTCAGTAAATTTCTTTAAACGGATAATTTGATGTGATGAGAATGAGGTATAAGTATTGCCTTGATATATGGACTTGATGGGGGAATCTGTTCACAGGTATTCTGTAGCGTCATAGTGGACCCATATCCCCACGCTATAGAAAGTGGCTCCAGACAACACATGGCATGATACTCTGCATAAACCTTGGAAATAACATCGAACACACGAAATGAATCCAATTGATCCATACAGTATGATGAACATACCTAAAATTAGCATGGTTCTGAGGTCATTCTTCAACTTGGCCCTCAACATCACCCCACCCGTGGACTTTTATAAATTCTTCCTCTCTTCCTCTCAGCCATAACCATAACCAAACCGACATCTACAAACATTACTATCAAGTCCATCGTAAAGATGCCTGCCACCGAAATTACCAGGTTAACCTCCCTCACGGTCTTTGATGCATACAAAAACTAATCCCCATCACAGCAAAGTCGACTTCCTACAGAAGGTCCTCAGATCAGAAGACCCCGTCCTCCTCAACTGCTACGCCGATTGGTGTTCGCACTGCAAAGCCATCGCACCCAAGATCGAAGAATTCAGCACTGTCTATACCCAGGTCAAATTCTACCAGGTGGATGTCGATAAGGTCGAAGATGTCGGACAAGAGCTGGGTGTACGGGCTAAGCCTACATTCATGCTGTTCAAGGGTGGGGAAAAGATCACAGAGATTGTTGGGGCACATTTGAATGCCATTGAGGAGGGTATCAAAACTCACCTTCTTTGAGTGAGAGGGGGTCGTTGACGTGTTCTTTTTATTTCCCCTCCCTCCTTTTTTTTACCTTATCCACCGAGGTGCTTGCGCTCGTGGAATACATGTGTTCAGCCATTTGAGACGCTGGTCACTATGTGATACGGAAATGTTATCGACCAGACAACTGAGTCTCTGGTCCTGCTTTCAATAGATTTAGCACTTTTATCAAAGCTGCTTGACAGGAATCATATTTTTCCAATTCTTTTGAACTCTTTTGTGGTGCAAAACATGCAGATATTGAGGAAATTTTGGGCACTTCATTGTCCCGTGTACATTCACACCAAGCACCGTGCAACCTACAAAACATCACACCAAAAAAATAGCCTCAGACATCCAACCTATACACTTTCCCGATACCCATCCTCCATCAAACCCTCCGTTTTATATCTCCTACACGATCCACTAAAATCCAGCAGCAATCGCATAAGCTGGTGGCACAGTAGGCCAAACATCAACCCCATCCAACATCGCCAAGACCATCCCGCCACTCTGATGAACCTGAATATGACAGTGCATCAAGAACGCACCGGGGTTTACCACATGGTATCTGATAGCCGTCCAAGTCAGACCCGTGACAGCCGGTAGCGTAGGGAAGGTATCACGATACTGCGGAGTCTGCAGATTAAAGTTCCCAGGAACAGCCTGTACCGCTTCCGCGACCGAATTCCAACTGAAAGTACCATTCCCCTGACCTAGAATGAAATGTTTATTCGAGTGCTTGTGGATCGGATGCGGGGGCTGCAAGATAGTATCTGTTTGGAGAATCAAGTCGATCCAGGTATCATTTTTCGTTCTGACAATCAAGTCACTGGGAATGGAATTCTGGTTGAAGAGCAAGGGCTGTGCTTCCTCGAGTTCGAGGCCGTAGCTGGCATTGCCGAGTCTCCAGCGGTACGCGGTGCCGACTTGGTTGATGTGAAGGAAGAAGGTTTGTGCTATATTGTTGGAAGGGGTGAGCACCGGGAATGGGATGACCTGGGATTCGTCTAGGAAGACGGTATCTGCCGAGACAGGTTCGTTGTTGATTTGGATCCACGGGTTAGATGGACGGGTCATCTGCGGCAAGCCTTGGTATCGCATTATTGCGGTCGTGTTGAGGATCTGGTTTATGCTGGCACTAACCATGCGCACAGTGTAGTCTCCCGCTAGCTTGTAAGGGGGATCAGAACCGAGTAGCGGTTTGAGTTTGGCATGGTGACCGCGTTGACTCTACGAGGTTGGATATATCGTCCGTCTATAGCGTATACCCACATGTCGTGCTCGTCGATTGAGAAAGTGAGTTCTAGCAGGCCGGCTGTGCTGGTGAGATCCCAGCTGACGTACTGATGGGCTGCGTTGACAGTGAAGATTTCCTGGAGACCTTGGGATGGTACACATCCTTCAAACATGGTTGGGGGGATGGCAGCGTAGTTGTGTGGGAAGTTGAATACTGTGTCGGTAATGTTGGGAGGAAAGCATCTAATGACGAAGTTAATTTATTCATCATGATTATCAAAAATAGTCGTTGGACCATGACGGATCCAAGATACTCACGCCATATCCGTCAATCTTAGATCATTACCCAGGCTCGTTTTTTGAGCGGGTGTTGTCAGAGCATCAATCTCAGCACGTGGTAGGCAGGTGATGGACCCTTTGCCATTGATGAGCAAAGCATTAGCACAAAATGAGTCTGTCCCAGAGGCCATCTCGGCAGCCCATATCTCCTCTGATGTGAGGATACGCCACTCCGAAAGCAAAACGGGACAGGTCACGCTCTCTGCCTGGATCATAGCCTTCAACTGAGCGGGATTGGTGGTGATGAGGCTGAAAGGCTTTTGCACCGAGGCGGCAGGGGTAATATAGATTGGTCCGTAAAGCCCATCTTCGAGAGAACCACGGTGATGCGCGTGATACCAGTAGGCCCCGTACTCGGTTGCCGTCCATTTATAGAGGAACGATGTGTTTGGCCTAATTGATCTCTGTGAGACACCTGGGACACCATCAGACCAAGGAGTTCCCAATTGCTCAATTCCTATAAGATAGTAAGATCGTATGTTCATCTCAAGGCAGACCAAGCTATCCAGAAACTAACCATGGAAGTGTATAGTGGTATTGAACGGGCACCGGTTATCAACGAGGAACTCAACAGTGTCACCTTGATTGATCCGTAGCGGAGGACCAGGAAACTGGCCGTTTGTCGAGATCACCGGCCTAGATACTCCTGCAACAGTTCTATCCGCCCAAGTCAAGGTGACTGGAAAGAACACCGTAGCTGCAGATACCAATTGGACGAGGCACAGAAGCCAGAGGGACAGGCTTCCTAGAGTGAAATTCATGTCTAGAGATAACGCCAGACTGGAAATCTGTATCAAATTGAATGGCCTACTCTTGACATCCCATGACTTTAAAGGAATTCCCACCCTTTTATGTGGGCCCAGGGAGGGCCTAGAGCATTGCATGAGCATATGCATCTCGGAGCTTTTATGCGGGTCTATCGCATGAGATACATGATTTCCATGGGAGCCTCTTGCTTGCGAGCTCGCCTTAGCGCAAAGCAAATGAAAAATCTCTCCATGCTTTTGCCGCGAACCAATCCAACCCTTCGGTGAATGGGCAGAAGGGAAATTCATGCGAGCATCAGTATATTGATCTCGAGTCTTGAAGCCTGTTTCGCAGCCAAGCTCGAATTTTTCCATTGGAAGCAAGGGACGTGATTGGGAACAGCAAGCCGACGCCGGGCGACCGAAGGACTCAAAGTTCAAGATATCGATTCACATCTCGGAGACGGTAGTCCCGAAAAGTAGCTTGGCGGTGCTGTAGGGTTTAACCTCCGAGGAAGCTTTTGGCACCTGCTTATGTGTAAGCATAGAGCCCTCAGAAAACAGGGAACTTTTTGAGCTTCGGTAGATTACTGGTAGTGTGTGTACCCGGAGCTAATGGTGCATGCTGAGTGTAAAGTTTCCATGGCCATGGGAGGGTCTCACTTCAGAGTCTCGGTATTAAACATGTCACACAGGTAGAAATAAATATCACTGGTCTGATCAAAGAACTGCCGGCCTCGGTCATCATCGGACTGTGAGTCAACCAGTCACAGATCAGGCTTCATCGAAAAAGGGGCGGCGGAAACCTCAATCCCGGACTTAACACAGAGCCACGTGCTGATGACCGAATCAAGGTACGCCATTTTCAGGATGAAACAAAAGCCTTAGGTGAGGGAGAAGTTGGGTTCTAAATTGAACCCCTCACCACAAGATTGAGGTATGGAAGCCGCCTGGATGGAGCGAAGATCTAAAACAAGAGAAGAAAAGTGAAAAACGCCGATTGATTCGTGGTATTGTCGAAATGTGATAAACATCCAAGTTACACGTTATGTATGAAACAATGAAATTTTGCAGCAAAGTAGACTCTTTTTGCTAGGCATGATCCTTCATCATGGCGGAATAAAACAACCATCGAAGATATCAAAATTTGCGATTGCCAAAGTATCCTGGCGTATCATCATGGGTGGCATTCGATGCAGGAGGGTGGCCCACTTTGGAATTGAGAAGAGCTACCGGATCTGAAGCAGACACATCACCCAGCAGAGATGAGGCGGTGGGCGGACCAAGTAAGTCTTTATTTGGCCATCCTTGTTCTTCGGGGCTTTTTTGGCCATCGGCGCGATCTAGATGCAAGCCTTCCAAATCATCCGGATTGATTTCACCGTAGCTGTCATTCAGTCGTTGTAGGAATTCTGGGTCAAATCCCATTTGTACCAGAGAGTCAGCTGTGCTTTCCCCCGGGGCAGATTCAGTGGTCGGAAGACTACTAGCCCAATCCGAGAAGGACAGATCAGGACCAGCTGACACCATCCCTGCACTGCCAGCGTAACTGCCTGATAAACTCCCCGGTCGGCTGGGCCCGGCAGAAGAGAAGCCAGTGCCAGGAAAGCCATGACCGCGCAGGCTCGGGTTAGAGATGGCAGGACTGTGGACGGGGGCCCCTTGAAATACTGTTCGCGCTAGTGTATTGATCTCCCGGGGTGCAGCTCGGAGGCCGCCATTGATAGCGAATGGAGGCTGCATGCCAAGATCGGCAAATTGGATGCTGTCGTTGTTCACAGTAGTCTGTAGTCCACAATCGCGCTTGAGGACACTCAGCCAAACAATGTTATCTGCGCAAGTCTGGTTCCAAGGATCATCACATCCATAGATGACACGGCGAGCCTCAGCTTGTATCATTTGATCTGATGGTACACGACCTTGTGCCTTTTGATCATGGATGTATGTGGTGAGTTCGCGAGAAAGCCGATGGTAACAATTGATATCCGTAGGAACAGGAAGCCCAAGTGCGGTGCCATCTCCCTTAGCTTGCTCAGTAGCCCAGGGATCAGGGGACCGCCATTCATAGTCAATCATGTACGGTGGAATGGCGTTTTCGACCCGAGCTTGAATCTGGGGATCAAAGCCCCAATCTCCTTGCCATTGAGCCATGCTAGCTCCATTTTTGAAGTGACCGGCCAAATGGTCCACTCGATCTTTCCATTTCTGGAAGACGGAGCCACAGAATCCACATCGGGATTTGATATCTGTAATGCTGCTTTGCCATTTCTCCATGCATGGTTGAAACTTGGCATTGTGCATCAAGCGGAGGTGTTGGTTGAGATGATCCTTCCGGTAGAATGTTCTCTCTTGCACTGCCTTCTCTTGGCAACTGATGAAGTTGTGAGTTTCTAGGTGTTCATCGTCTGGACTAGCTGCCAAGCAGAAGACACAAAGAGGTATACCGTTCTGTTCAATTGTACCGCCGTGAGGGGAGCAGGTCCATTTGTCCAGGATTAAATGCATGGACTTCTCGTGCCGCTGCCAGTCATACTTAGCAGGGAAGGAGTCGGTACAGAAGGTACATTGGAAAGGACGAGCAGATTTGGCCTTCGAATGGGCCAGGGTATTGACAGGTACTGAGGCCTTGCGGCGACGACGACGTTCTTTACGATCCATTGACCCAAATGAAAGAGAGGATGGATGAGAGAAAGCAGAAGCAAAAGAGATATCAGAAATAGATGAATAAAAACTACTGGCAGAGACGGCGCACAGTTTATGTTCAGAGCTGGCATGGCTTGACTCATTGTTACTAGACCCAGGGCGACGGGCCTCACGTGACTCGACGGGGCCCCGCGTGGACGGGATGGATCGAATGGAGGATTGGCCAGGGCACGGGTAATATCGCTGATCGTAGCCGGTTCGTTTTCGGGAGGAGAGTACTTCCAACGTTCAAGAGGAGTCATGAGGGATATGTTGACGGATTCCTTCATGGGGATATACACAGCTCCTGGAACGGGAGAACTGCCCCCGGGCGACGAACGAACTTTGCCGCGTCGCCTCGCATTGGCAAGCCAATTGGCAATTTGCGTCCGAGTTAAACCACTGTGTTGTTTCAGTTTTTCTCTCTCTTGTTCGGTAGGATAAGGGTTCTCATTGTGGTCCCTCGGCCAGCCCTTCAGGATGCTGGTTGCCTTGCGCGAGAATCGAGCACCGCTTTTTTGAGAGCGTAAATCTGGGTCATTGGGATATGTGTTGTATGAAAATGATTTCAACGCTATTTTTCCAGTCAGGCTACCTGTAGGAACGTAGGCATTCTCGGACACGCTATGTAATGTCTGGAGGAACTTGCCAGGCGCTTCGGCATGAGTGAAACTGCATTCACGCCAAAAAGAGATACAGCAAGTACAGCCACAGTTCATTATACCGCGCTTTGCGACAAAACAGTCCAGTCCCCTTAGCCGGAAATAGTCGCATGGTTCTTGGGCACGGAACATGGGGTAAACCCCGTCGACCCCGACGGGGTCAGTGGCTTGTGAAACATTCACTTCGGACTGCTCCGGCGCCGATTCAGTGGGAAAATCCAATGTCTGATCGTGAACCAGTGAGTGAAAGTTAGCTGTCTGTTCTTCGGCTTCATCGAGTTCAATATCAGTCGAAGCGACATCGTCGCCTAGTTGGTTAGAGTCATGGGCAGACGAGGCGCCTTCGAAATCAAAATACTCCATTTAATGAAGGGTTCTAGCGAGAAATGCTGCATAGAAAACAGCTTTTCAGAACCGGCAGAAGGATGGAACAATAAAAGACACAGTGGAAAGCAGGAGAAGAGTCGGCCAGACTAAGACTGACTGAAAATACCCTTCCAAGGCTGGTCTGGGGTAGAAAGATAGGTGAATAATCAATTCGGGTGGAGCTCCATGACCTCGGAACTAGAGGTGCGCACCATTCAGCCGCTGAGATTACCCGGTGACTCGGCATGGACCGCTCAAAGGCAAACCCGGTGTGGCTGTTTTTTTCACGATAAACATCATAGAAGCGAAAATAATTGCGGAAGCAGATGCTTGCGTATCCACCGCATAGTTCAGGCTCCGGTGGCAGAAGAAGTCTAACACGAGGGAGAAGGGCATTGAGTGGATGAACAGAATCCAATTCCAGAACGCATCTGCGCGCCCTTCGAATGACAATGCTACGCCTATTTAGGTTAAGCCTTCGCCAACATGGGGCTGTTGCCAAGCCCCGGTGATTCATCTCTCGGTCCGCGATATCGGACATCCACTTTTTGTTTTATAGGTCCTTAAATACTAGAACCATAAAAGATGACGCGAATCGTGCCATACAATTCAAGCAATGTCGCATCTCCAAAAGGGCTAGGCCTACCCTCGGAACCGTCGAGGTCCCATAATTAAACGCCATCACCTGTCACGGTGCGAACCGTGATGCTTAGTAAGAGGAAGATCATGGCACGTGATCTCTGACCTGTTTATCTGAACTTGTCAGGGTGCGGGCTGGCAGGACGTT